TGAGACCGATCGGCAGGAGTAGCAGGAGGAGGACTGGGACTCATTCCTATTGAACTGAATTGAAGTTCTTCAATCAGCAAGACTATTTGAGTTTCTTGGACATGGATTCGGGATTTATGAGCGACGTGCCGTTTGCGGAGGCGGCGATGCAGTTCTTCTTTTGACGTATATTCAGAGTCGTCGAGCTGGGAAGGGGCGAAGAGGCAGAGACGAGAGGTCGTGCAGTAGTAAAGAAGTGTTTTATGCATTCTGTGTTGCGTTTATGGGCGTAGGTGATTTGTTTGCGAGAGCCGACAGCCATGGTGCGGTGGAAGCGATGACGATAGCAACTGGGGAGAATCAGAAAGACAGGATTCAGAAGACAGATGGTCTACTTCGATGCAAGAAAGGATGGACGGGGCGAAAAGCAAAGATGTAGATTGACGTCGCCGACGTGTCGGTCCGACGCAAGCTTCAAGATCAGCGCTCATATGCTTGTTGCTATGGTGGCCCCATATTCATCACACGCCTTCAAGTGGACAACACTGCACAATTTCGAGACAGTTCTGCTATCTACGCGACATGTTCTACATGAATTGGAACGTGTTGTTTCCCATCCGCAGTTCTAGGCACCAAGGTCAAGCTGAAGCACGGCCTGACTGAATCGTCTCCTGGCGGCGAGAGGACAAAGTGTCGGACAATATCCACGACCACAATCTGAAATTGCAGTATTCTGCATGCAGGTCAGCGGGGATTTGCAGAGTGTAGATCTGACACGAGCTTACGCGAAACGCCAGCTGCAGTGGTGAGTTGGAAGTCAGCATCCTCGGAGCCTATGATAGGACCTACCCGAGACAAGTACCAGGGCCAGCAAGGAAGCTCAATCTTTGCAGAAGGTTAGTACACCACCGCAAACCAGAATCAGTCCAACCCACAGCGAAGCATGGGGTCCAATCGCAGTCCCACTGCACGGAGATGCTTTCTCGAGCCATCTCGCAGGCCGGAGTCCCCGGCATCCGGTCCCCACAAAGACTTCAGCCGATTATATGAAGCCAAGCTGACATAAACCAGCTGTCCTTTCTGTATCGGAATCTCCGTGACGCGTTTTCCCGTGTTCGTGACGACCTCTTGGCTCAAGGGAAGTATGCAGTCTTCAGTCGATACACGTTCTGCGAATGGAAAGCAGCGTAGAGACGGATAGTTTCCTGGTTGGTTTCAGCCTGGGACGCACACAGCGAAGACGTGACGCACGTTGATGATAGCATTCAGGAATGGCATCGCGTCGTAGTCGACAAACTCGAGCCCCATCTCGGTTCGGCCAATCTCTGCCCGGAGCTCGCTCTGGAGCCCAGGACGTTTCGCGAGTTCGTATACAATCCAAGAGAGCGTTCCGCCCTGTGGGTATCAGTCTGAGGAGAGACGTGAGGCGTCTTCCGGACGTACCGACGTGTCAGCGCCTGCAAACAACAGTCCGGATGTGGGTCCCGATCTCCTCGTCTGGAGCACCGGAAGTCGGGTCGGAGGGTCAACGCGGACTAGTCAAGCATTTCGACGAGATCTCCATGGTGCATTTCACGCCACGTACTCATATCACTAAGAAAGCTCCGATCCTCTTTGAATCCCTCATCCTTGCGCTTCTGCTCAATCAACTGGAGTGCCAGATCGTCCACAAGCCGCGCATAGTCCCTGATCGTGGACATGGGCGGGAATGGAAGCCGAGTCGCAAGCCGGAAGACGGGGTCGGGGATGTATGCGAGTACAGCTTCGCCGATCAGGCTTGCTTTCGAGACACGGCTGACGGAATCTCTTTGCGAGGATTGAGCAATCGGCGGCGTGAAGATCGGTGCGCATACATCAAACTACGCTGCTTTGCAGACGTGCTTTCTCCTGCTGTTCGATCGAATGCATGCAGTGGATACTGCAGAATCACTGGATGGTACAGTCAAGCAAGCAGCGAGATGATGTATGCTAAGTGTGACACACCGTCGCCTATGCTCTCCATCGCGACATCGTGCAAGCTTCGCAATACATCCACCGTGTTGCCCGGAAACCCAAGCGCGTTCCACGCTTCGACAAGCTGAGGACGAAACAGTTAGGCATGCGCCGCGACCAAACGACATCTCACCTTTCTCGCCACTTCCCGAAGGACGGGCTGTGCCTCGCGCACACTCTTCGGCGAGAACGCCGGATTCATGAGACTGCGGAGATACCTGTGTCGATCGCCTAGCACAAAATGAGTCCGAGGTGCACGTCGCAGGAGCTGAAGGCCAGAACTACTCACCCGTCGCCAGGAAGACGGTCCCAAAGCCAAGGAGCATGTTGCCCGCCTTCTGCTGCGAGGCTCCGGACACGAAGATTGGGCTGTTGAGGATGAATCTCGCGGTGGCAGGGTCAGAGACAATCAGACGTGTCTCCTTACACCGCCAATCAGCACGAAAAGACAACTTGGAACGAGCGCGACGCGTACTCCGAAACACCCGCCGATGGCGTAGCAAGGGCCAAACGCATCCTGCCACTGGAATTCGTACTCCCCGTATTCCTTCGATAGCAGAAGCTGGAGGAGATTCCCTATGGGCGAGTTGGTGAGCTGGGCGAGGAAGCGGCGCGCTACATCCTACGAACCGAAGAGCCACGACTCGCGTTTCGGGCCCGGTATTGAATCGACTAGGCGGGGTTTCAGCGTAAATCTCCGAGCGAAAGCCCAGAAGCCAGCGATCAGCAAGCAAGAGATGAGGAGGGACATGGGTTATGATGAAGCGAAGTGGGCAAGGACCCTTCTTGACATGGGAAGAGGTGCTTTTGACATAAGTGATAAATAGAGTATATTGGCCGCTTCGGCACCCGCTCGGCGCCGCTGGAAGGACATGATCTTCAATGACGGCGCGAGGGCCCCTCAAGCAAATCCAGAGACACGCGAGAATTGGAAAGATTGCATCGATTGAAGCAGGCAAGTCGGCCATGAATGACATCGGATCAAAGTAATTGCTAGCTGCGCATCAGTGATGGCGGGCCTCGTGTCGGCATCCGCCGACTTCGCTAGGCTTTTCCTTTGCAGCCCGACTGGGCGCTCTCATTTTACACACCGCCAGCATGTTTAGCCAGAGGACTTTAAACCTTTTGGGATGTTATATCGCGCAACTGGGCCCGTACGTACTGTATATTGCTATCGTCTACTGACCGAAGGGCGAATTGAGTTTCTCTACCTCGTCGCCACAGCATACAGAAATTGTGAGATTCACTCTGCTCAGCTGCGACTTATGTAATAATTCTTCGTCAATGGCTTTCCATGATCGGAGCACAGCTTTCTCCATGAATGCTACGACCGTTCGGTCCATTGTCTCCTTCGTTGTCAGGCATCCGGGGTCTTCAGAACTGCAGGAGCTCCAGAAGACACAGCAGCCAAACCGTCTACATCCATGGCGGTTTCTCTTGGACAAAAATAGCCATCATTCATTGTTCTGCCTGTGCTTCAGACATGGCTTGGGTTCCCTTATCTGTCTGGTCAAGCGCACCTCTTTGTCCTTCATTTCCTGCCTGTCAAAGATCGTCCGGTGTAGAGATATAAAGGCGGGTCTATAGATCCAGTGCCCCATTTCCATCCCATCATCTGCTCGTCTACGACGAACCATCTCTGCACACCTGACCACAACCCTCTCACCGACTTACGACCGAACAATGTCTCACAACGTCCCACGCAACGCGCTGGCGCCTACCTCCCACCTTCCTTCCTCTCGTGTGTTACCGCCTGGCTCCATGTTTGGTTCCCTGGAGGATTTCCCCAATGAGGATATCGTCAACGATCTCCGGGCATCTCTCGGAATGCCTCACGACGATGCAAATGATTGGGGCGAGTTTTACGACGGGCGCACACTCGTCTACGAGCGCCCGCCTGCTGCTCGGCTTTCCGGCCGCAACAGCCCGTATTACGTGGAGTCCTCTTCGTGCGCTCGGCCTTTACCTCTCTTAAATCCTAGTGCTGACTCGATCACCCAGCGAATCGGAGGACGAGTCAGACTCTGAGCCCTCAGTGCCCACCAGGATTCCGCAGCCCTTGGGCCCCTCGTACCTCTTGACTCCCGCCGAAGCAATCGAGCGCGTCAAAAACCACCCACTCCCTCCCTACGCTCATTTGATTTCCCAAACATACTGGTCTCTGCTCCAGCTCGGCTGCACCGTCAACCCCAACGATGCGTCGCTCAGCTGCACCTTGAACGGCTGCCGCCACCGCTGCAAACCGAGCGACATGGAGCGCCACATCTGCAGCCACTTCGCGCCCGGTTTCCAGTGCGCGTTCTGCTCCGTCGCCTTTGCGCGAGAAGACGCCCGGGAGCGGCATGTGCGCAAGGCCCACGCGGAGGGCGACGCGCAACGGATGGCTTCAGGAAGCAGTTCTGTTGCCTCGCGCACGGTGAAGCGTCGTCGGGCCAAGGCATACGAACCGTAAGTTGCTCCAAGCTATTCAATATTCATTTCGACTCACTGTCTCTACAGCACAAGCAGCACGAGCCGGCGTACCGCCTCCAAATCAGCTCGCTCCTGAAAGAATGCATCACGACAACAATGAAAGAATCTATTTCAATATCCTTCAATTCCATTATCTACTTCTAAGTATATCTTTGACCATTGATATAATACATTCCCTTTAATACCCGCACTGGTGTGAACTTCGTCTCTTTTGACACGTCCACAAGTCTTGATAACTCCTTGAGTCTCAAGACCCTCCTGGATGCTTTTCATCTACCGATGAGATATCTCTGAGACAGCTTGTTTGCGGGTGCGGTACGAATTTGAGTCAGTCAAACATCACGCTTTAGGCACTCATGCAGACGGATCGTGGAAATCCCTTTCTTCTCCGTCCTCTGACCTTCGTTCTGGTTGATCCAAGCGCGCCGACCTGCTCGACGCCGCAGGGTCTTGGACGTGGCCATGAAGCAGCCTGTCAACGACCGGGATAGCTCCTCTTGATTATGGCCAGGTTTTGAGGATTAACAGAGATTTCAAATGCGCGGACCTCTGAGCCGCACTGCTCATCATCTACTTTATCAATATGTATCATCCTTCACTTTTTGAACCATGCATAGCACGTGTCCAAGTTCAACCGTCACGTGGTATCGCACGGTGGAATCCACAGGTAAAGAGCACACGGAAATCGGCCAGTGGCATTTAATTTAGGCTGACATATCGACTGTTACAGTCTATGCAAAGATGCGTTTGGGTATGTAACTAGGTGAGTATGCGTGAGATCGATACAAATGAGTCCGAGATGCTGTCTAGATGCGACTAAATTGTCCTCAACACGTAGATGTCAGATTATTCTTCGGCACCGGCTGCTTGAAATCATCCTTCCAAGTCGTCAAATTCGGATTCGTGTACGCCTCGAGATACCTGATGACGAGCTCAGCATGTGTCGAATCGTAGATTGTGGGGAAACCCAGCCCTCACGTGTTAATGTAATCCTGCGTCGGCCGCGCCGCGGTATCGCACCCGACGTTGATCTGGTCCGGCGGCTGGTAGACCCGGATGTAGTCGATCTTCATGACCGCGGGGAACACGAGGTTCTGGAAGTCAATGAACGAAAAGGAGTGCGAGAAGCCCAGATTGACGATGATATACTACACGTGTCTCAGGAAATCTCGAGGGACTTGAGAACATAGACACGCACCATGGGTTCTTCTGTGATGGGTCGAGGACCAATCTCGACACGGGTATCGGCAGCGAAGCCACCGCCGTTGGCGGTCCACGAGATCTTGTTGTCCGCAATCCATGTGATGTACTGCATGATAAAATGAGCTGCAGACTGTGCGAAGATGAGTGATCAACTTACCCCTTCATCGTACCCTGGACTGTATTGGAAGCCATACACGGCAAAGCAGTCATCGACTTGCTGGTAGCAGTTCTGATTCGATTCCGAAACCACAGACGAGGCCTGCTGCAAGATTCCACCCGCATAGCTGTTCAGTTGCGAGATGGTTGGATCCGGGATGATTAGATTAGCGGATGTGTTGAACCATTCGTAATAGGCATTGAATGGCTGTGGTGTGGTCAACGAAAGGAATGTGAGATAAGGGAAGCGGTGGCTTACAGCCCACTGTGCGCTCTGCGAAACGGCTCCAAAGTTGTTCGGCGACGTTCCGGCAATCTGGGCCTCGAACATATCGATTTCCGGTGCGGATCGGCCGACGTACGTCCCGTCCTCGTGCAGAGGGCCGGGATGCGATTCGCCGGAGCACGTGCATCTTGAAAGTCGTTGTCCGGGAAGGAACGACAGTTCGCCGTCGTTGGTTCCGGTGTTGGTAGCCGAGAGAGGCGCGTTGTTGAGAGTCTGGTTGGGCAGTGTCCCAACGTCGCATGCGTCATAACTGTACGGCCACATCCCATCCAGAGTCGCGCCGTAGCCAGCGCGCCCGAGATTTCCCCTAGCAAAGTAAGCAAATGAGAAGAGAGAGAGAAAAGAAACCCGCCAACTCACATAGTCCAAACAGCGGGCCACAACCCGAACACGTTGTTAAACCCTGGCAGCTGGACACTGGTCACGATGAGACCACCGGTAAAGCAGAACTTGAAACATGAATTTCGACGCCAGAAGACAATAAACCAAGACGCACTTTGTTCCAGGTCGTCATCATCCCACTGGTGTAGTTCAAATCGTGATTGATAGTCGGATCGGGCGCTTCAGACAGCGTGATGTGCAGCGAGCCGTTTTTAGTCGTTAGGGCCTTCGGGTCATACCATTCGAGATCCCCGGTGGACCAATAATGGAGGTCACCGGCCTCCCTATGATCAAATTGGTTAAACGATGACGATGCGCTAAAAAAAAATAGAAGGTACCAGTACGGATCATCCCCGGGATAAAAGGACCTTCCGTCTTGGTTGAACTCATCGCTGAACACGAGTTGGAGCTCCTGAGACGGGTCATGGTACCCGTATATCATGTGCAGATCCTGTAGAGCGGTTAAGATGCAAGGATAGTCATCATCTCGTAACCGACGGACCTGCGGCGTATCCAAGTCAATCAATCCGAAGTTGCCCATGCTTGCCACCTGGCCTGTCGCATTGACAGTGGTGGCAACTGCCAGATTCTGCCGCGTCTTGTCGAAATGTGAAACCAGGGGATACCCTAGACTATATGCGCGCGCTGTCAGTCATACACCGATGGGCGCTAACAGGACGACAACTGACAAGAGCGCGACAATGCAGGCTGCCATAATCAACAGGCACCCCAGATTCTGCATCCCCCGACCGGTGAAGATGTTGCGCGAAGGACCGCGATCGAGGCGGGGGTCGGGATTGTGCAGCGCGTCGTCCGGCTCCGGACGGAGATCCGTCGCCCACATTGTTGGGTCGCTTGCGAGGTCAAACTAGACGGAGTCGGCTCAATAATCAAACACCATTGAGCGATGCCACGCACCTTCTCGGCCATCGAATGGGTGTCCGAGGAGCCACTAAGCAGACTGCTCCTTTGCGACGAGGCGCCGAAATGCGATTGCATCGAGCTCGGACGGCTGGCTGCGGACTGAGGGACGCTCGCTTTCGGCGGAAGGAGATTCGATGACGAGGTAGTGCGGGACGAAGACTGATAGGGAGTGGGGTACCCTGGCCCGGACCCAGGCCGCGCTTGGCCGTACATCGTGCGTAGGGTTGAAAGGGAAGAAGAGGAGAATCGTCACTAGTGGACGTGAAAGAGAAAGGCAGTGGCGGAACGTAAGAAAGCTGTGACAACGGGAATAAAGTCTATCCCAGCACCGCTCCGCAGGAACTCGAAATAGTCTCTTGGCCTTGCTTTGAACCGGCTAAAAATAGCTGTGACATCACATACACATGCTATCGATGTCTCAGATCGCTTCTGCCGGTTCGGCACGAGAGTGAGCGGTGCTAGCATCACTGTCAATCAGATATAGACTTGAGTACGAGCCTAAGCCTCATCAAAATTGACCAAAATCGGGTTGGGCTGCAAAGTGAATCGAGAGAAGTTGAGAGGCCACTAATTACTTGTAAACATGCAAAGTATTTTACACAATATGGACCAATCGATCACTTCAACTTATGAGATGAATGTCAGAAAAGGATTTTTTCCGATGGCAGTTTTTCTGGCAGATGATCTACGATGTCCGCGCTCTATATCTATTGTATGTTGCACCTCGTTCATGGTTTCGTAGTGTAGCGGTTATCACACAAGATTCTGAGACGCTTTGCGTTCTTGAGATCCCGGTTCGACTCCGGGCGAGACCTTTTGGACCTCCCCTCCGTGCAACTGCAGCCTTGTTTTGCCCACCAGGCTTGATTTTTTCTCCTTCCCTATATTTTCTTACTTGATGTTCTTTCTCACTCTTCACGGTATTGTCGATGCGCCCCTGCATGCCAATTCGCTCCCACGGCCCGTGCGCAGGTGGTTGCC